GGTGCTAGTAGGGATGATTGGGGGGGTTATACAAAAGTGAAAAAAATTGTGTGCTGCCAAATAATTAAATGAATATGGAAACAATAAAGAATACAAGCTGCTGCAAACACATAGAATCTGTGTTCATCACATGTGAAAAAAATAATAAACTAATGTGTAGCGCTGCGCTGCTCAAAAACATGAAGACATAACATGGCATACATAAAGTCCAAAACACGTGTAAAACTTCAACATAAATGTACAAAAGGAAGAAAAAGAAGGAAATAAAACTCTTCAGCAAATATAGGTGGAAAAAGCTGTATTCCAACTGGAGAGTGAGCCTGCAATCCCGGTGCTGTAAATCTTTAAATGATGTGCATCTCCACGGTGACCATATAGAATAGGTGGACCCTCGCCTTCATGTATGGATCCGTATAAGAAACAGGTCAACCAGGCATCTCCACTCCTAATGGGGGTGAAAAAATGGCCTCTCCTCTATGGATAATCCTCCTTTCATATATGGCCACTGTATCCTCCAAGTGAACCCTTTAGCGGTATAGCTGGCTCTGTGAGTAGAACTGACAACCATATAAAGCGAGCAGGGGTGGACTGACAACTCATGGGGCCCCCTGGCAATATGGGATGATGGGGCCACTGTGTCCTCACCCACACTCAAACCACACCCAAAAAAGCCTATGAAAAGGTACCAGGGGCATCTCATGGGGCCCCCTACTGACCCTGGGCCCTCGGGCAGTGCCCGAGTTTCCAAATGGTCAGTCCGCCCCTGAAAGCGACCATAGTTCAGCATGTTTCTTAAAATTTCAATAAACTTTATTAAAAATGCATTCACATGTCACAGTAATAAAAACCGCAGTGTGACAGAAGTTATCAAGCTGTACAATACACAGAGCAGTGTCTCTGACCATGGTACCAGTGTTCCCGCTCTGACGTCACCTCGCTCCTCCCCATTGGGGGTTTTCTTGTGCTCGGACGGGAAATTGGGGGGGGGGGGAGATGTGTGCTAGGATGGGGAATTGGGGGAGGGGAATTTGTGCTGGAAGGGGGGATTTGGATTGGGGGGGAGGCTTGATTTTGTTTGGGGGGAGGGGTTGTTTGCAGACAGAAAATGCTCAAACACTTTGGAGGGCGCGATTTGGGATGTTCGCCCTGGGCTGTAGATGACAATGTCCCGTCACTGCCTGAAAATAATAAAAAATGTGAATATGTAAGCACATCAAGCAAACCATCGTCACAGCCTTTCATTATGCTTCCTGCCTGTATATAACTATGTTTCACTCCTACTCATCTGCAATCCCTTCTGTTATTCCTGAAATGTTTCTGGCAATTACTGATAATTACTGACAATTGCACACTCTACGGCTTGCTTCCCCAACCCCATATGGTATTGCTGGGTCTTGGTGATCAGTGTTCAGGCCACAAGCACTGCAGTAAGGGCATTCTCAGTAGCAGGACTCTTATTGGGTGGAGAAGAGGTCAGACCAGTCTGGAGAGGCAATAACTCATTCAGCCTGAAAGTTCTAGATTAACATTCCTCCATGCTGAGGCAACATTAGTCTAATTTCCATTTTGTATATAGGAACCCACAGCAGCACAGACTCCTAATTCCAAGACCACACAATGACTATGTGGTCTCACACTATCGATTAGCAACCATTCCGGTTAGTTATGGATCATGTGATAACTATGACGGCCAGTAATTATGATCAAATTGGTTTGTTTACAAAACAAATTGCTGGCTTGGCTGTCATTCTGCCTTACACAGAGGGAGGCACGTTGACAGCAGCAGCTAGCAGGCTACATCTGTTTAAAAAGTAGTAAGGCCAAAGCTCCTTTGGCCCTTCTTCTCCTGTCGTCTGTCACAGTAGTGCACTTTGTTCTGCACTCCTGCGACCTGTACTCAGCTGACAGTAGGCTAAAGTCTGCTGTTGGCTGATGTCACAGAGCCAGTCCAGGCTTCGAAGAGATCCCAACTTTAGTGTTGGGTTTCACCCAGATGCCTGGACTGGCAGCAGTGAGCTGCTGAGAGCTTGAACCAGCCAATCTTGCCTTCTGCACAGTCTGGGGCTTCAGTGAGAGCTGTAGAGACAGAACAGAGAGCGGCACCTGAGAGTCACTGCTCTCTGCTCACTGAAGACCAAGAATTGAGCAATCAGCAGTCTTTGATTGCTCAGTTCTTAGTGTAGAGGTGGGGGGGGGGGCAGCTGCAGGATCAGATCGATGCTGCATCCACCTGGGTGAGTATGTTTACTTACTTTTTTTTAAATCCCAAACTTCTCTATTAACTAATATATGGACTGTACAAAATATTTTTTTTCAATTAGAATTTAAAAAAAAAGATTAATTAATGAGATAAGTGTAAATTGTATTAAAAACATTTTTGACATTTAATATGATATAAAAAAACATAAACAGGGAATTATTTAAATTACAGAATAAAAGCCTTATATGTCCTTTAAAAACATTTAAACAAAAGGAATCATAGACTTATTGCATTCTCATCCAAAGCAAACTGACACTGCCAAGTGTGGCCTGGGCAGATAGCTTATAATGACCTCTGGTCATGAAAGGGTTAAGGGTACTTACCAATGCCTTGCACAGAGTATAGGTGCTGGCTTGGGTTATTCTTTCTGACAGGTTTGCTCCACAGTGTATTTAAACTTTTGCAGTTACATTTGAGAAACTCTACGGCAGGGTCTCCAAACAATGGACCAGTTTATTGTCCTTCAGACTTTAGCGGGGCTGGATTGTGGCCAGCTGGGGAAGAAACTGTCCCAGGCTCAGCATCAGTGAGAATACAAATAGCCTCAGGGTTGGTTGTCAGTAGGAGGAAGAGTAATGCCCTATCATTCGTATCAGTAGGAGGAACAGTGCCCTACCATTGGTATCAGTGGGAAGAATAGTGCTCCATCATTGGTATCCGTGGGAGAATAGTGCCCCATCATTGGTATCCATGGGAGGAATAGTGCCCCATCATTGGTGTCAGTAGGAGGAATAGTGCCCTATCATTGGTATCAGTGGGAGGAATAGTGCCCCATCATTGGTATCAGTGGAAGGAATAGTGCCCCATCATTGGTATTAGTGGGAGGAATAGTGCCCTATCATTGGTATCAGTGGGAGGAATAGTGCCCCATCATTGGTATCCGTGGGAGGAATAGTGCCCCATCATTGGTATCAGTGGGAGGAATAGTGCCCTATCATTGGTATCAGTGGGAGGAATAGTGACCCATCATTGGTACCCGTGGGAGGAATAGTGCCCCATCATTGGTATCAGTGGGAGGATATAGTGCCCTATCATTCGTATCAGTGGGAGGAATAGTGCCCCATCATTGGTATCAGTGGGAGGAATAGTGCCCTATCATTGGTATCAGTGGGAGGAATAGTGACCCATCATTGGTACCTGTGGGAGGAATAGTGCCCCATCATTGGTATCCATGGGAGGAATAGTGCCCCATCATTGGTATCAGTGGGAGGAATAGCGCCCCATCATTGGTATCAGTGGGAGGAATAGTGCCCCATCATTGGTATCAGTGGGAGGAATAGTGCCCCATCATTGGTATCCGTGGGAGGAATAGCGCCCCATCATTGGTATCAGTGGGAGGAATAGTGACCCATCATTGGTATCAGTGGGAGGAATAGTGGCCCATCATTGGTATCAGTGGGAGGAATAGTGCCCCATCATTGGTATCAGTGGGAGGAATAGTACCCTATCATTGATATCAGTGGGAGGAATAGTGCCCCATCATTGGTATCAGTGGGAGGAATAGTGCCCCATCATTGATATCAGTGGGAGGAATAGTGCCCCATCATTGGTATCAGTGGGAGGTAGAGCACATCGTCACTGTTCTCAGTGGAAGGAATAGTGCCTCATTGTTGGTGTCAGTGGGAGGAATAGTGCCCCATATCATTGCAAGCAATAGTGCTCCAAGGGCCAGATAAAGGCTAGCAAAGGGCCACATCCGGTCCCCAGGCCACAGTTTGGATACCCCTGCTCTATGTGGTTGATTTACTAAAAGTGAATAGGCTGTGTGCTGAAAGTGCAGTTGCTCTAGATCTGAGGGGAACATGCAAGGAAAATAAAAAAAACATATTTTTGCTTGCTCATGATTTGATGAAAGAAATCAGCAGAGCTTCGCCTCATTTCAGAGCTTCCCCTCGGATCTAAAGCAACTGCACTTGCAGTGCACAGCCTATTTACCTTTAGTAAATCAACCCCAATGTGTTTGTTATGTGTTCCCATTCACACAGCACGTCAAGAAATAATTAAAAAATGTTTCTTATCTCCCTAGTTGTTTCTTTGTAGCAGGTTTATACATAGAACTCTCTAGGCAGTTTGCAATTGTTAAGAATAGCTTTCTAGTGCATCAAGTGATGCACAATGTATTACCCAAGCCTTGAGATCTTTAACCCTTTGTTAGGACAGGGAGCACATCTAGTTTACAACTGATAATTTTATCAACCAGTACAGTACAAGTCTTACCATTACATACAAAGGGAAAGGTATGCAGGTTTTTTAAGCAAGTAAAAAAGTAAGCAGCAATTTTTAAACATTTTTCTTAAAGTGTTACTAAACCCACAACAGTAAAATCAGTCTGTATATGCAGTAAAGCATGCTTGTTAAACTCATTGTGGAACCTAAGGGGTTAATCCTCTGCATTGTGTAAAAAGGCTGTTTGGTTCTGTTTTCTCTGCCCCTCCTCTTGTTCAAATGTCCATCTGATAAGACAGACTGAACCCATAGTCACATGCACATGCTCAGTTTAGTGTGGATTGCTAGATAATTTTTTTTTCTTGGGAGAGTGCATGTGATCAGCACAGGGCCAATCAGCACTGTCCAGACAGAGGTCAGGGGTTCTACCTCCTCCTAAAGCAGACAGAAAACTCCTACAACCTTTAGCCAGTGCTCAGCTGAACTCACAAGACTGCTCTAACTGCTGATGAGAAAAGGTATTTAGCAGTTTATATTTACTAAAATAATTGAATTTCCATGTTCTGTGTACTGTGGGAGACCAGATATAGTGAATGCAGGGTCCTAGGAGACAAGATATAGTGAATGCAGGGTCCGGTCTGGGAAGACCAGATATAGTGAATGCAGGGTCCTGGGAGACCAGATATAGTGAATGCAGGGTCCGGGGAGACCAGATATAGTGAATGTAGGGTCCGGGGAGACCAGATATAGTGAATGTAGGGTCCGGGGAGACCAGATATAGTGAATGCAGGGTCCTGGGAGACCAGATAGAGTGAATGCAGGGTCCGGGGAGACCAGATATAGTGAATGTAGGGTCATAGGAGACCAGATATAGTGAATGCAGGGTCCGGGGAGACCAGATATAGTGAATGTAGGGTCCGGGGAGACCAGATATAGTGAATGTAGGGTCATAGGAGACCAGATATATTGAATGCAGGGTCCGGGGAGACCAGATATAGTGAATGTAGGGTCCGGGGAGACCAGATATAGTGAATGTAGGGTCATAGGAGACCAGATATAGTGAATGCACGGTCCGGGGAGACCAGATATAGTGAATGTAGGGTCCTAGGAGACCAGATATAGTGAATGCAGGGTCCTAGGAGACCAGATATAGTGAATGCAGGGTCCGGGGAGACCAGATATAGTGAATGTAGGGTCCTAGAACACCAGATATAGTGAATGTAGGGTCCTAGAACACCAGATATAGTGAATGCAGGGTCCTGGGAGACCAGATATAGTGAATGTAGGGTCCTAGAACACCAGATATAGTGAATGCAGGGTCTGGGGTTTAGTAACACTTTAAGTTATGCTATGTGAATGGGGACACGTAACCAATATAAAGTAGGTTTTATCCCAATTTGGCTGCAAAAGTGGAAATACACTTTAAATTATAATAGCTTTTTTTTGCATGGCTAGCTGAAATTCAAATGGTGCTTTGTATAGCCCCTCTTTAGGGTGTATTCACAAAAGCAGTGTGCACTACCCACAGCTGCTGGGGTGCATTATAAAGGGGGTGTTACCGATGTAAACAGAACATCACACTGTAAACGTTTCTTTTTGTTAAAACTTTGTCACAAAGTAACAATTCATTCAGCTCTGCTGCCCACGGAACAGGGCAATGGATTGTGTTGCACCATGCGCTGCTGAAAAAAAATGTACTGCATGCCCTCCTTTTTCAACACACACCCTTGCAGCATGAACTGCCACCATAGGGCTGGAGGGGTTTTGTATTGGAACTGCATTGGGCATTGCATATGGTGTGAGATCGAAAAATATGGTGAACCATTTGCAATAACAGGTTTTAGAATATTGGCCTACTACATTGAGAAAAATCAAGGTGGAAGGAGGAGTCTTCCCAACCTTATCAGCCATTCCATTCCTGTGTGTCTTTTTACTTAAAAACACATTAACTTATCACAAAGAGAAGGCCTATTACAAACAGGACAGCAATGAATTTTAAAAGTTCTAATGTGGGTTACAGAGGTTAAAAGGCTGACTACTTAAATGTCAGAGATGATTAAAGACTCCGTCAATTGCTCTGCCCGTCAATTGTTCTGCAGATCTTGGGGAAACACAGGAGGTGCACATCTAGAGATGCATATCATGGCAGGCTCTGCATATACCAGCAGGGAGTCATTGGATTTGTGAAAGAGGATGTCATCGTTTTCTAATACATTATACCACTAAAGGAGGCAGGAAACACCAGGGAGAAGATTTACTCGCCATATTATGCTGAGATAAAAAAAAACAATGTTAAATATTTAAAGGATAAGTGTGATTTTAAAGGATATGTACTCCTTTGTGTGCGTTTGTTCTTTTCTAAAATATGGCATGGTGAACTGCAAAATTCAGCATTTTATTGCTGACCTTAGATTGCAGAAATGGAAGCTCTTCTAGGGACTTGTACACCATGGCCATATCTAGGAGGGTGCTAGGGTGAGCTGCGACCCCCCCCCCCAAGATTTCACTTGTTGCCTCTCTCCAAGCCAGCCTCCCCCTCCATGGACATTGTGCCTTACCTGCTGAGCTCTCCCCATCCCCAAACTCAGGGCCGAGAAAACAGTCTAACACAGTGAATTCCAGACAGCAGAAGTGAAAGAGAGAAGAGAGCTGGGAGGAGGTGTGGGCTGTGTTATGCTCTTCTCTCTCCTGTCAGTGGAGTTCTACTCCATACAGCAGATGACACAGGATAGTTAGATTGGACTGTGCATAGTTTGCTCCTACCCACATTTCCTGCTGCCAGGAGTCCTTGGAGGAGATAAGGGGTGTAGGGGGTGGAACTTAACTTTCAGGTGGGGGAATTGTACTAGGAACACAATAAGGAAGGGGGGGGGCAAAGGTAACAAGAACATGTGCTTGGGATGAAAGGTTTGTAAAGGAGGGAGGATGGGGGGCTATTTGTTCTGAGAAGGGTATTTTTGGGGGGAGGGAGCTTGTGCTAGGAGGAGGAATGTGGGGAAGTGTGCTACGAGGGACGATTTGAGCTAGGAGTGGGGATATAGGAGGGGAGAGGATTTGTAATAGAAGAAGAGGGGATGTGGGTGGGGAGGAAGAATTTGTGCTGGGAAGGGTAATTTGGAGAGGATTTTTTTTTAAGTGGGAGAGATTTGTTTAGGGGGGAAATTGGAGGGGGGGGTTGAGCTTGGAGGCATGAATGGGGGCAAAGACTTGTGCTGGGAAGAAGGATTTGGACTGGGAGGAGGCAAAATTTTAGCATTTTTGCTTGGGGAGAATTTTGGCTTTTTTTAGGGGGGATTTATGTTGAAACATAATGCTTACACATTGGGAGGGGGGTGCAGTTTGTCATCTTCCTCCACCCTGGGTGCTAAATGACCTTGTCCCGGCACTACCAGGGCACAGGGCACTCAAAAGATCTCCTCCTCCCCACACATCATATAACTGAGTCTGGATTCCCCACAGCATTCATCTGCACAGTATGTAGCTGTGCTGCATTTCTGACCTGTAAAATTCCCAGATTGGAAAGGCAGCACAGCTGCAGTAGCTGAACCCTTGTTCAGCGCATTGAAACACATGTGTTACATCATGTGTTAATGTGCATTGCACTAAGACAGCCCATTTACTGCAAAGTGTTAAATTGCATTAAAGTGCAGCACCGCACATATCGCTCATTATCATAGTGCAACAGTGAGAACTGATTGTGAATGAGAAGAACCTAGCAGGTATGGACAACCTAAACTGGGACTAAACCCATCAATTTAATTTTCTGGGGCTGCAGCAGAACCATTGTCCAGGGAACTCTGTGTTCTATTGTGTTTTCATGTTATTCAGAAAGAACTATCATTGTAACATATGGCTTCCTATGTATAATGTATTCCAATGTGAGCGCCGGACTGTCTGGGGGGGGCATTGTCTATGATATTATGATTTATTAGTTCTTTTGCAGTAGCTACAGGTGTAGTCACTTGCCTTGTGTTCCAGAGTTGTGTTGTGTAGTTCTTTGGGGTAGCTACAGCTATAATAACTTTCCTTTTGTTCCAGAGCTTGGGAAGCAGCTTCTTGGTGGAGATACCCAGTCGGGGTGTAAGGAGTCCATTACAAGGCATGCTATAAATGACTACTGTCAAAGTTGCTTGTGCTCTCACCCAAACTGTCAAGCCATCAAATGGCTGGTGTCATAACTGATTATGTGGGGGAACAGAGGCTAAGATGGCAGCTTCCTTGGCCGTAAAGGATAGTAGGGTTTAGTTCTGTTTTAAACTCTAGGCAGGTATAAAACTATAAAGTGTATGTGGAGTCATGATAAAATAAAGCAACCCATAGTTGTGATGAGTCAGTGTTTATTTTTTTGCTCAATTAGCAGGTTGAATGAAAATACCCCAATCCACATATTTGATTTGAACTGTTGTATTGTGACAATGGGGAGACTTCCCCACCTACAGAATACACTGATCAGCATTGAAGACTATAGCCTGTGGCGCTGATCAAGTGGGGAAAATCCGACAGGCTGGTTGTACAAAAGTCAGTTGCTAGACCTACTCCTGTACAAGCATAAAGTCCATACACAAATCAAAATTTGCCTGGTCCCTGCTGAACTGGACAGATTTGATCCATGTATAGCCAGCTTAGTACAGCCATTAGCCTTAGTAAAGCCATTTTTAATGCAATGGCAGGGATTTCCTAAAACTGGAGGGCCCAGAATCTGGTGCAGCTGTGCTTGGTAGCCAATCAGCTTCTAACTTCAGATTGTTCAGTTAAGCTTTGCCAATAAAACCTGGAATCTGATTGGTTTGTATGCAGAGCTGCACCAAATCTGCACCAAATTCTGCATGCTCCAGTTTTACTATATCTCCCCCAATTAAAACAGATGTAAAAGTCTGATATATAAAGTCTCTGTGTACAACATACCATGATAATTCAGCACTTCATACCAAGGTGAAACCTCTGTAAAGATCAATACAAATGTGACCTCCACCCAAAGGTAAAAATGGGTAACTCACCAGAGAGTTAGACCTTGTATAAGAAAAGAGGTCCTTAGCAGTGTCCTACCACATCAAATTGGAATTGCTAAAGCCTCTGAACCGTTCCTGCACCAGGTCGACACAAATTACTCAGTATATTCTTGTACAGGTAAGTTCTGTTTTCCATATATACCCACCCAAATAAAAGGAGTGGAAGACTCTAACAGTATAAGTACCATTTAAAAGGCTTTAGTAAGCATAAAATACAAACTGCTTTCACCAGGAAAGGTGGCGTGTAAAGTCAGCCATTGTCTTCAAAGCTCTGAGTGAAGAGTTCCATCCTATAGGATGTCATCAGGAGCTAGAAACAGGGCTGTGTAGCTGCATAGCTGGCACCTGGGGCTTGTCATTTTTTTTACACCTGCCCTCAAAAAGAACTGGTGTGAAGAAATAAAGTGGTGTATATAGAGCGCCATGGCAAACTGTGGGTGTGGTCAAATTGTTTGGTAGTGGGAGGGGCTTAAAGGGACATAGTTAAATAACACCTAAGCCTACTCCTCTGTTTAACACAATTATGCCACAGACATGTACAAACCTCAGCACACTCATTTTCATGACATAAAGCAGTTCCCTTCCATATTCCAGAGGTCTAATAAGCTGAGAGGCTGTCCTAAGGAGGCTATATTGCCTTTGCTAATGACTACCATACTTGTGTCACATGCTAATGCAGTCAACCAACCAGGAAGCAGGTGACATGGCACAGGTGATAGAGGCTCTGGTAATGAAGGGGTATTATGCTTGGCCTCTTACACATACTGGAACCAACTTCGCAGCACAAAGTACCTAGGGACCTAGCCTGGGGGTCATGAGAGTTGTTGTGGGGCCTTGGGAGGAAAACAAGCATGGGTAGATGGAGTAGTGTGTCTCCTGTATCCAATAGCAACATACGGATCATTGTCACTAGGAGTGAGATGACAGGACTGCCGAGTTGGTGGAGACCGGAACAAGCGCTGTGGTACCGACTTCACTCCTAGGGAAAGGTGGGTGGACTCTAGCAAAAGTTGTGGCTGTAGTGCATTAGTGCAAGAGCCCTACTGCTTCTCACTCTTTTAGATAAGATCAAGTGTAGTATCTGTTCTTATCAGTATCCAGTAGGAGTGCTCTTCCGTCATTCTTGCATTTTGGTGAGAATGGCTGCCTATATAGTACCCCTG